TGTAAACAGAGTAGAAACCCTGACTTTAATTATAAGTAATCTTAAAATAAACCCCAATAATTGATCCCCATATTAATGACAGCCAAGATTTTCATTTTTACATCCACATTAGCATATCTAGTATTCATGCATTAAACCAACAGAGAGAACCAGAAATAACTAAGATATGGAGTACATAACAGAGTAATGATACAGAGTATGACTTTTGTATATAATCAGCAACACAGAATTTCCAGAGCAAGTAGGTGAATGACTATAATCTCAGAGAGAAAAAGTTAACAAGATACAGTTAATATTATACAGGATTTATGATAACCTAATGTAGTTGCCACAAAGTAAAACAATATAAAACGAAACAAACAAAACATGGAGACAACACTGTATACTATCTTACAAATGACAATAAATGTTTAATATAATACTAACTTGTGGTAGGATAATAGGTAGGATAATTTGCCATATTTCAATATTCTTTGTGTAAAGGAAGCAAGAGACTTAAATTTGCAGTCTATACCATAGCCATGAGGCCAGTTTCCTTTTGCATATCAACAGCAGCAACTGACTGTAGACTTTATTTTTGATAGTTCTACCTACTTGAGAAAAATGCACAAAGGCTTTTATATTGTAAGTTTAAAACATGGTCTGTGATTGGGAAAGAAGAAATAGTTTTTCATCTAAAATAATAAAAAAATAATATGATCATATTGGAGATTAATGATGGCTATTCCAGGAAGGTGCCTGCAGTCTCCTGACATTTCTTGTCATTGGTGTTAAGAAAATGGACTAGAGTGCATTCATATCCTCTAAGCTGTTCCACTGACAGCACATCAGCACTTGACACTGCCTCACAAGCACTTACCCAATTATAAGGTGGCCTCATGATAAGCTGTTTCTGCTTCTGACATACACTGCAGTTGAAGACTTGCTGTGGAATTTCATTCTGTGGCTTCAAGATGTTTCATATTTCTATTTAATGTTAGAATCAGGATATATAGCTACATTTACTTGGGTTTTCTGTAGGAAATAAGGCAGGTCAGTGCAAGCTAATGTACATGCAATCGATGACTTGCAAGGCTTTTAATCACACGTTCTTCCTGTACAGATCAATTGCTAATGAAGGTATCCATTTACCTTCCTCAAAGTGTGTTTGGGAAGAGCATTAAATGATGAGATCTTGATATGGCCACCTGTTTATAAGTCATGAATTGTTCATGAGACCTATCCTGTGTGCACCCAATGCAGCAAGAGATCCTCATCAGACCTTGGCTGATTTTGCTTGGGTCGCACTGCAGGAGAAGCTTTGTGTGCACTGGGAGGATGTGGTGTTTTCTTCTGCAGAAAATAATGTGGCGGTATATTTAATAATTTTTTAAAAGATTTATTTATTTATTCATACAGAACTGGGGTACAGGTCAGAGATGCGGAGGGTGAGAGGATTCACCATAGACAGAGTGGGGAGCAGAACAGGCAGATTGATGAAGTACACTGCTGAGGGGAGCAGCGGGTGGGTCAGGAGAGGTCTGCCGCGGGTGGATCTCCTCCAGGGCAGGCGGGGATCAAACTCATGCAGAAGTGACTTAAGCTTCTTAGTGCTGTGCTTTAACCCACTGCACCACCAGGGAGGGCCTATTTAATAATTTAAGGGTAAAAAAAAAAGTAGACATTTTAAAGATGATTCTGAGTCGTTTCTGTGATGTAAACGAAAAACAAATCAGCACTTTTCCTTCAATCAACATGTTACTAATACAATGTCTTGCTTAATATCTCTGTATGTCTCCTTTATCTAAAGAAGGTTTTTCACTCTGTTCAGAGAACAAATACTTGTCTTCATCAGAACTATCAAGGATTTAAAAAATATCCATTCAGTAAAGTTGGTTTTTCACATACTGAAGCAGCATGATAATCAAACAATAATCACACACAAATCAAAAGTGGCACTCCTACTTTGCATTGCGTTATTTTATGGATTTATATTTCCTTCTAAACCAATTGTTGTTTAGAAATCTTGTGGGTATGAGCACTGATTAAACATTGAAAGCCAATGTAGTGTTGAATATTGCTGTCCATAATACCTATAGGATTAACATAGAGTCACTATCATGGGGTATCATATTAGACTGTAATGCCCTCCATTGAACTACTTACAAAAATTATTTAGGTTTAAACACCAGAGAACATGCTATTGCTGTAGTGGTGTGGATACTTAGAAAAACCTCTAGCAAAAATATTCAAAAGCCTTAAAAATAAAAGCCAAGTCATATCCTAAAATATATTTAAGTATTTTGTATGAAAGCAAAAAAAGAGAAATAAGATAAATAGACCAGTGAAAACAAAAAGGAAACAAATCAATGTCAACTTTTTATTGCTAACATATCAATAATTACCTTCAATGTAAATGTGTTCTAAATACATCTATAAACCTGGGTTAAAAAATATAACCTAGATGCATCTTGCTACATGCAACCACTTCAACTTAAATGACACATGCCTGTTGAAAATAAAGGATGAAATATATATCATGCAAACCTAAATCAAAAACAATAAAACATTTACCATATTAATGTCTGGTAAAGTAGTAGTTTCAGAGCAAAGAAAATTACCAGAGACAAGGAAAATTACCAGAGACATTATACATTGATAAAGAATTGCCCCAGGAAGAAATAACAATCCTAAATATGTAGTGTGTGCACTACTGGTGGGTTGCAACTCACTTGCAATGTGGGTGTGTTTAGACTTTCCCCTAATCAACAGGTAATTCTTAGACACTAGCAGGGTATCCAATAATTCACCTCAATTCTGGCAATGCTTCAGAAATAGCATCAGCTTCCACTGGTTAAGGACTCAAGTCTCCATTCTTTAATTCAGACACCAGATAAAAAGCCTGCCCAGGTTCCCACCTGAGCTTCTGACCATTTGGCTACATGCTAGAGCTCCCCAGGATCCTCTACTTAGACTTCAGGGGAGAGTCATAAGCTCATATATTTATCTGTGTTTTTAACCAACCCACTATCAAACAGAAGTTTGATTAATTTTTAGAATGGTACACAGAACTCAAGAAATCCATGAACTCACTTGATTATTGATTCATTACAAAAAATATAACTAAGGAATAGCTAGATGGAGGACAGGAATAGGGCAAGGCAGAAGGTAAAATTTGGAGCTTCCATGGCCTTTCCAAGAAGTCCACTGTCTCCAAATCTCAACATGTCCATCAACCTGAAATCTCTCCAGAGACTTTCTGTCTATACTTTTATGAGGTATCATTATATAGGCATGATTGATTTATTATTTGCTGATTGGCAATTAAACTCAACTTCCAGCCACTTTCCCCTCATGGCATGTAAGGATGGTGAAGAAGTTCCCATCCTCTAATCACTTGGTAGGTTCTTCTGGCAACCAACACTTTATGGAGCTGCTGCCCCAAATGTCATCTCATTAACTTGGAAAAAGACACTGATATTGTTTAAAAAATTCCAAGCTTTTGGGAATTGTGAACTGTAAAATATAGCAAATATGTTTGGTCATCCTGTAAATCAGAATGTGGCAACACCAAATAGCAGAGCTTCAAAATTCATATAACAAAATCTGATAGTGCTGAAAAGAAAAATAGACAAATTCACAATTATAATTGGGGTGACTCTTCTCCCCTTCTTAGGCCTTTGATCTTAGACAGGTAGTTTCACCATGACCCCCCTGGTCTTAGGCCTTAGAATTTGGACTGAACTATACCAGCAGTTTTCCTGATTTAATTAATCATAAACACACTCTGTCTCTACCCAAGTTATTAGGCACTTATTGTACAGAATGTTTAAATATCAAGGCTCTGGAACTAAAACCTGGTTTGGACTCCATGCCCTCTCCCTGAAAAGTTTTGTATACTGTAAGAACTCATAATTTTTCTAAGCCTGATTTTTCATCTATAAAACAAAGGTTACCATTGTTTCATGCGTTGTGAGCAGTTGATTTCATGCATGATAGTAACTTATCACAAGTCCAGGCTTAATAATCTACTTTAAAAATAGTAGCTGTTACCAATATCTTTAACACCTTCTCAAAGTGTTATATGTATAAATGAAAACTAGAAAAAAAATTAAGGAAGTAAATATTGATAGTTAACTTCAGCATTATTTTCCATAAAGCAAATACTAATATTATTGAGATATATCTAGTAGACAACATTATGCTTTGATAAGAGGAGTGCTTTGCACAGGTTGTAAATGTGTACAGGTTTCTGGTAAGCTCAGTAACTTTGTTATTTTTTTTTAAAGATTTATTTATCTATGCATACAGAACTGGGGTACAGGTCAGAGGTGCAGGGACTGGTGAGAGGATTCACAGAGACAGACTGGGGAGCAGAAAGGCAGATGGATGAAGTACACTGCTGAAGGGAGCAGCAGGCGGGTCAGGAGAGGTCTGCCGTGCCATGTGGATCACCTCTCGGGTGGGATCAAACTCATGCAGAAGTGGTTTTAGCTTCTTAGCGCTATGCTTTAATCAGCTGCGCCACCAGGGAGGGCCCAGCAACCTTGTTATTTTTAACAAAAAAGTGCAGCTTAAGTGTTACCAGTTTTAAATTTTGAAACTGGGGCCCTCCCATGTGGCCCAATGGGTTAAAGCGCAGCATTGCACGGTGAGAGTTCTATCCTGCCCCAGAGGTGACCCACATGGCCAGCAGACCTCTCCTGTCTTGCCCACTGCTTCTACTCAGCAGTGTACTTCATCCATCTGCCTGTTCTGCTCCCCACTCTGTCTCTGGTGAATCCTCTCATCACCCCTGCACCTCTGGCCTGTACTTCAGTTCTGCATGCATAAATAAACCATTAAAAAATAAATAAATTTTGAGATTGAAAAAAGCTCAGCTTTAAAAGCTCTTGTTAAACAAGTTGCAAACCTAATGAATCAATAGGGGGAAAAAACAACACTTGATGTGGTTAACAGGTCATATTTATTATTTTCTTGAATATTTAAAAAGAATATATTGTAAGGCTTTGTTAAAAATATTTATTTTTTACAGTTTTTGGAAGGATAATGGCAAACGGTTTACAAATGAAAGCTGTAATTTTAAACTAAGGTAAGCACACAGATTTTATAGAATCTATAAATGCAAGTCATTATTCACTTTAAGCATCATAAGCAGTCTCCACGTTAAAGTATAGAAAACTGAGAAGCTAAGATAAAGCACCAGCTGTCCCCATGTCACCAAGTTAACACTGCTTCCTCCATCTGTCCCATCATATAATGGAGGACGGGAAGAGAAGGGGAAGGGACATTTAGAGAAAGAAACAGAGCCCTGAAATTACATTTGCTTAGGGGATCCCCCAAAGGCATCTTGGTTGGGTTAATAAATTTCTGTGAAGCAGAAATTGTTAGATTATAATATTAAGGCTTAATATCATGCGTTCATAATAAAATACAATTGCTGATATTTAAGTGATATTGAAAGCTATGTAACATATTAAAAGCTTGTCAATGAAGTACACAATGTAGATATTTTCCTTATTGAATCCTTTAAGACTCTGTAGGCACATTGAAATCAATCTCCATACAAATGGAATAAATATCAGAATTTCAAACTATAAGAATATAGGGGATTGAATTTTTATGAATAATTAAAAAAACAATTTGTATGTATCTTTTAAAAATAATTTCAATAGTGACAGCTAATGTTTAGTATTTTAAAGTTTTTCAAGCATATAACAATTTACAAAGTAAGTTTTTAAGATATAAAAACAAAAAATTCTTGAAAAAAATGAATGTGAAGTGAAAAAGTAACATGTTAACCTTATAAAATACCACCACCAAACATGCACTTTCGTTTCTTAGTTCACAGCCCTCACAATTTGAGTGACAATTTTTTTTTTCTCTAAACTATATAAGACCATAAAGTACAGTGAAAATCAGTTTAAAGTGCACAGATTCCCAAATAAGGATCAAGACACTGGAAAACCCTAAAGATTATGGTATTTCTTGACTCTTCTAATTCATACTATGACATACTATATTTAACTCAATGTTAAATTATGGATACCTTTTATAACAAGGTAAAACTTGAGTTAAGCACTTTGTATTATAATATCATTTTAGTAAATGTAATTTTTTTTTAACACTTAAGTGAGAAAATGTAGCCATAGCGATAGTTCTCTTAATGCTTCTTGTCTTAGGCATCCATCCCAGGGAAGAGCTGGAGCTTTTGTGAAGCGAGTCAAAGAGAAGAGGAACTAGGAATGCAATCAGCATTAATTTCCAGTACCAAGTTCTCCCTACCCCCAAACAAAACAAAAAACAGAAATAGGGTTCCTATCTTTTCCTAACCTGATTTGAATCAGCCCAAGAATCTCTGGGACTGATCCGAAAGGCCTTTTTAAGAAGTTCCCTTCACTTCCCCTAATTGGCATCTGCCTTGGCAAGTTTAGGATTGAATGGTCTGTAGCACAACACCAACACTTTTTTTTTTTTAATATCATATCACATTAACAAGCTACTTGTTTACTTGTAACTACATCCTATTAGTGAGACTGAGTCCTTCAAGTTAAAGGCCATAGAAAATATGTAAGGAAGACCCTTTTGTTACAGTTCTATCAGCATCTCCCCATTCTCAAGAGGAGGCAAACTCTATATAAGCCACAGAGAGAAAAACACTGGATTATCAATGGGCAATTTTAACCCATTGTGACTCGGTGCAGGGTTATTAAGGATTTGTTTTGGTTGGACTAAATTTGTCCTGGTTAGATTGAATAGCTGGGGTAAAAAGTAAATTTGCATGAAATCTTATAAACTTCCATAGGTTATAAACAATTAAGTGAGATCTTATTTTCTCTGATCTTTGCTTTTATATCTCATTTAAAATTTCGGCAGTTTGGGATATGTGAAGATGTGGTAGGTGTATTAGAACTTACTTTGAGTAGCTGCATTTCCCTCAACTTTGTGAAAATAGGCACCTTCTTTGGTAGCTTGAACTTCCCTGTCACTATCAAGTGTTTGAATCTCTGATGTGTTTCTGTCATTCTGCCTTAAGCGATAGTTTTTATAAGCACGCTGAATGATGGTGGCTGAGACTGCCTCTTGTTTTCGCTTCAATGTGGTTGTAATTGGCTCATATGTGATCTTAAAAGGGTTGGCTAACACAAACCCAGATTCTATCTCTGAAAGAACTTTCTCCATCCTCCCATCTTTACCCATAACTCGCTTTGTAAAAGCAAGTAATATATCAAGGCAGTGAATCCTGTCTCCAACAGCCATAGGAAGATCCATGGCAAGGAGCTGGCCCTTGTTTGGTTTTGCCATGAAAAGAGGAGGATCAAGAGCAGCTGCAAAATCTGAAAGCTTGCTAGAATCTATGTACTGGGTCTTATCAGGATCAAACCTCTTCCATACCTGAAAGAACTTCCTAAAATCATCTTCACTCAGTGTCTTGGCTCTTTTTTTAGAAGCAATATTTAAAAACTCGAGGACAACAATGATGTACATATTTACAATGATCATCCATGATATAAGGATGTAACTGACAAAATAAATAATTCCAACTAAGGGGTTACCACAATCTCCTTGAACCTGAGTCCCAGGGTTAATTTTATCAGGATCACAGCCAGACCATTTACTGTTGAAAATAGCAAAGAGCATCCCATCCCAACCAGCAAATATTGTAACTTGGAAAAGACAGAGTAAACTACTGCCAAAGGTTTCAAAGTTGGACACATCGTTAATTCCGGCTTCCTTTTTAACATAAGCAAAGTTGTACATTCCGCAGATGGCATAGACAAACATGATCAGAAAGATGAGAAGGCTGATATTCAACAATGCTGGGAGGGACAGCATCAAAGGGAGCATCAGGTCGTGGAACATCTTTGGTCCTTTCCCAGGACGCAGGATGTGGATGATCCTTAAGAGACGTATCACTTGCATAAGGAAAGGAGGTACAAGGTAGGATCCTACCATCATTGGCAGAAATATTCCTTGGTGTGAAAAAAGGTTAAAGTAGACAATAAAGTTATGCAAATATAATTAGAGCAACATACATTGTACTGCAATTTGTTTCATTCTATGCACTAAGATCATCTTATTAATCATTTTCATACAACAGTTAGCCATATTAGAAGTTTGAGTTAGCCAAATATTAATTGTAGCAATGATTAGAGTATCTAAGAAGATTTAGAAGAGAATTCTTGTGCCATAATCCTAAGAATAATATAGAGCAAGTTCTTCTGGATCATAAATGGCACGAATCCATGACATAAGAAGATAGTCATGTTTTGCTTCTGACTACAGTTGTATCAAGAACTTTAGTTCAATCCAGTCTTTACTGGATACCTAATTACAGTATTATACAAACATATGAAGATGAATCACAGAACCATATATACTAAATATGTATGTAGATATTTAAACAGTACAAGCTAAAAAGACCTAGCTGATAAGTACAAACTATCTGGTATTCAGTGATTCATAAATTACAAGTTATTTCATAAATAGTATTTGGGCCCATAAGGACTTAAAATGTGAATTGAATAAATGAGTCTGTACCTAGAACTTCTGTTAGTGATAGATTAATGAAGAAACTAGGGAAGCGAGAGACCTAACTATAAAACAAGGGAAGTTGTAATTACCACACAAAGCATAAGGGATGTTCCCTGAAGAACATGAGATGTGACCCATTTTGATTTGAGAAGGTAGGGGAAGAGAGACTCCCAGGAATCTCTCCTGGGAATGAGAGATAAATGACATGCTATGCTTTAAATTTGGAATATTATGTTTCACATTTCTAGCAAATTTAGTAAATCTCAAGTATAGACAGTTGATTCTTTACCACTCCATATTTTTTCAGGGTAGAAAGATGGAGTAAACAAACATTTTTCTTTCCATTTGGATTCCCAGGTGCTTTTCCTTCTCACCATTTTTATAAAGAAAAAAGAAAACTTTCTGACACCTTGTGGATCATGTCATACAAGTGCTTCCTCTCCTACCATTCCTTTGTCTGTGATCATATGTTCCCTCTCATTCGTATTCCTTGAAGACTAGTTCTTAGTTCACTATTTCCTTTTCAACCTCAGCACTTATTTTAATCCATTCAAATGCCAGTTTCTCAGTCTTCGACTTTCTTAGCTTTAATAATCTCCTTCATGTTTTTTAATCATACATATCACTGGCTATATTCTAGGACAAGGATATCTGATCTTCAGAGATCACAAATTAGAATAGCTTTTTCTCTGATTCCAAATTTCTTTTCTTTTCTACCTTTTATTAAGTAGTTCTTACTTTAATCTCACAAGGTTCTTTAATTCCTCTGTTTTCTTCCTACCAGTCTCCTCTTGTCTATTACTTCCTTATTATTTTCTTGTGCTTACTTATATAGTTGCACTGCTTTGGTTAAAACTGAATGAGTGTATTTTCTGAAAGCAGTCAGGCAGTCTATCTACATCTTTGTAATAGCTGCATAGTATTCCATTGAATGTATACTCCACAATTTCTTTATTCATAAACAATTGAATATTGTCCCTACTCTAATGGGGTTTATATTATAGCATACAGCTTAAAAGGAGGAAGAAAACACACTTATAGCTGTCTAATATGCTTTTACACTACAGCTTCTACTCAACTACCTGCTTATCCAATCTGTTTAGATATTTGCTTCTTCCATGAAGTTTTCTTTGACCTCTACTTACTGCCTACTTATTCCTCACTTTGTTGTGTTGCTGCAGTCCCTCTTCCCTTATCATAAAACCTTAAAGACACTGCAGTAAAATAAACTAGTTAGCTAAATGTATTCTTTACTCAATTATAGATGTTGATTAGAGAGGAGTTATGTCCATCTTGTTTACTAATGAATTATTTGTATATAAAATCATATTTACTTGCAGAAGATAATCAGATATATTTGTTAAATAAAGGACTGAGATCTTTGAGTAAGAGAAAACTAGTGGCATCATTAAAACCTAGAACGCCAGTACGATGAACATTGCAAATGGTTTTAGAAATTAGGGGGAAGAGAATTATAGTGAGCCTAAGAAGGTATATAAAGATAAGAATGTCACCTGGAAAAATAACATCTATGATGTACTGAATGGGTAATTAAGCATTTACCTGGTAAGCTGTGAAGTACAATCTATGTTATTAAATGCAAGAAATATTTAAATAATATTCTATCTGTGAGATATATGTACATGTGTGATTAAAAAAAATGTGAGGCATTCCTGTTAGAAATAAAAAGGGTCCCTACCTGTTTTGCTTATTGATACTTCATCTCAGAAGACACTTAATATCTTCTGAGTTAGAGCTTGCCTGTTTTTTATACTATAAATGAAATTCCGACTAAACAAGTTCTTACCTGTAATAGAGAAAATGACCACCATAAAATCAAAAACATTCCATCCAATGGTGAAATAGTAACAACGGAAAGCAATGAGCTTCAATACACATTCTCCAGTGTATAGTATAAGTAAAATTAAGTTAATCCAGTAGAGAGCAATGTCCATGTTTGGACTCTGTTCGTCACTTTCTAGCATAATGGGTATGGCTTGACAACAGATAAAAATCATAACGATGATATTAAAAACTTGACTTGTTACCAAATCATAGATCAATCCTTGGAACTTGTTCTGTGGATAAGAAAACATATATAAATGTCTCATTAACAGGATACAGAGACAAACAATCATGCTTGCACATACACAGTGGCCCGGGCACATGCGCGCGCACGCGTGCACACACACACACACACACCCCTTTAGATTTGTAACCACTTCCCAGAATAAATACAAATATAGTGAATGTGTAAGTTTTTACCAAACTATAATTATTAGCTAATAGTAAAAATCAACAAGAGCATAAAAAGCTTTGTCAGTGAACATAATTTATAAATTTTGTCTGAAGAATAATACTTCTTGCTTTTTTTGAAATTTATGAAAACCTAGGTGTTTGCTTACTCCTGGGCGAGGTATTGGTTTTTGAGAATCCTCATACATGAGTCTCTTCAGTGCACGGTATTGTTTCTTCTGTTGTGCTGTTATAAAGATATTCGAGTTTCCTTGGTAAAGACACAAAAGCAAAAGATCATTTTAAATACAAATTTCACTTTACATTAATATACAGCTTGGAAATGTTTGATTTAATCTTTTCAAAAAGAGGATTAACTGCAATGAAATCAAGCAACACAATTACATTCAAGCATGTCTGACTTCCTGTATTAAAATCCACATGGAAGACAGAACATAAACTGGTATTATTTTTGGATGAATTTTCTGTGAGTGATAAATCTTTAACTTGTCATCATATGAAGGACTACCTCTTGTTAAAGAGAGGCAAAGGAAAAAAACAGTAGGAAAAATTGATGAAGAAAGGTTGGAGTGAAAATCTAATGTAAAGGTGCTTTAATAAGTTAGAAAGATAGAATTGGTTATATATGTGTTGTTGATATTCACATATCGCTTTATTTTCAAAATATATTAGAATATAACTTTTATAAATATTATGCTTACTTCTTCATAGTATTTTCTAAGGTTTATTCATTTTTGTGTTTTTAGTGCTGATTTCAGTATTTTATACAAAATACATACAGTGAATAAAAGTTGAATAGTTAAGGCTGTATTAATCTAGGAGCTCAAGAGTTTTCTCTTAACGCGAATTCATCTGTTAATATTGACAAAGTTCACCAATTTGAAGGCCATAGCAAATACTACTATGTTGTTCCGTCTACTAATAGTTTAAGGCCTTAGGAAGTGGAAGCATCCAATCAAAAGCATATTTGATCACTGATTATTTTTTTCAAATGTCATCTCATTAGGGCAGACTCAGTATGCCTTGTTTACCAGATTTTGCACATGACTAAACTTTGATGACAATGCTCAAACTAGAATTTCAAAATTAAACTATTAATTTTTTTGATTTTTCAGAAGGCTTTGCTATATCTAACAGAAAGAAGATCTTTCTGACTAAAATAAATTTATACTTTTTTAGGGATTTGCATTTGTAGAAGCCCTGATGGGTGTCTGGAGATGACACCAAATACCAAAGAATTCCACCTCTGATTTCTTACTTATTTCTATTTTGGCCATGCAAGTAGAATTTATGACTTTCTCTACTTTTAGCAGGAAAAGTTACTTCAAATGATAAAGAAATCTATGCTGGCTATGACCTTGAAGGCTTTGAATATATCAGAATATAAAAGTATTGTTTTTTTTCCTTGAAATTCACAAATTTGAGCAGATTATTTTCAATGCCTCATTATTTACAAATATAGATACAGAAATATTTGTATTTTTTTAACTTTTACATTTTTTAAAGATTTATTATGTATGCATACAGAACTAGGGTACAGGCCAGAGGTGCCGAGAATTCACCAGAGACAGAGTGGGGAGCAGAATAGGCAGATATACAAAGTGCACTGCTGAGGGGAGCAGTGGACAGGTTAGGAGAGGTCTGCCACGCCATGTGGGTCATCTCCCTGGTCAGGGGACTGAACTCAAAAGCTCAGCACCACCAGGGAAGGCCCTAAATTTTTACATTTGAATAGGGGAAAAAATGAGAATATAGACATTTTAGTTGCATTTATCAACATGTAGAAGCATCAATCATTATTTTAGATAAATACCAAATAAAAATGTCATTCAGCTGAGTCCAAATGAATTATTTGAAGCAGGACATTTTGCAAATGTGCTTGATGATCTCAGCATTGATGAATAAAGAATAATCATACTTATCTTTACTTTGTGCTTGTTAAAATTAGCAATGATAGCACCAGTCAGCATGCTCAGAGGAAGAAATAATCCAATGATAATAAAGTTGATAAAGTAATAATACATGTAGATATGATGTTCAAAACGAGGTTGCTCTGTTACCTAAAAGTTGTTAAAAAATAAATAAGCAAATGAGAACAGCATAGAAGATTTTCAAGGCAATGTAAATTCCTTGAATCTTTATGATAGGGAGATGCTATATCTATGCCATTATGTATTTGTCCAGACTCATGGAATGTACAACATCGAGGAACCCATAAGGTAAACTATAGATTTCTCTTGATTATGATGTATTAATGTAGGCTCATACTTGGTGAAAAAGAAAGGTACCATCCCAATGAGTGATGTTAATAATGGAAGAATCTCTGCATGTGTGAGTCCAGGGGCTGTGGAAAATGTAGTTTCCTCTCTATTTTTTTTTAAATCTGAAACTGCTCCAAAAATAGTGTTTACAAATAAAATTTAAAGTGAAAATAAGCAAAATTTTGATACTTTTTTAAAGGTTTTTTTTTTAAGGTTTATTTATTTATGCATAGAGAACTGAGGTACAGGTCAGAGGCACAGGGGCACTGAGAGGATTCACCAGAGACAGAGTGGGGAGCAGAACAGGCAGATCAACTAAGCACACTGCTGCGGGAAGCAGCAGGCAGGTCAGGAGAGGTCTGCCGGGCCCTGTGGATCACCTCCAGAGGAGGGATTGGACTCTTGTGAAGTGGCTTTAGCTTTTTAGTGCTGCCTTAACCTGCTGAGCCACCAGGGAGGGCCTGATACTGATACTGATTTTTTAAAATACAAATCTGAGGTTAAGTTTCCTCTTTGTTAAAGAGAGATTATTGCATTACCTATTTGGATTTTAAAGTTTATTAGATTGGTTTAATCATTTTTATAGGTCTAGTAATCCTTCAAATGGGCCTATTCGGGTTGTCATTGTATATAATCCTGGAAGGATTTCATTGTCCATGAAATGCTCAATAAGAAATGTATGTAATTACAGCCTTCCATAGCATTTTTTTCCCATGATAGTTATATAGTTATTGTTGGTATCATGTTGTTGAGTTACAAAAATTACTTTCCTTGAGCAAAGAAATAATAAGAAGGACATCAGGAGGCACAAAATGTCCTGATTTAAAGCTATTCTATAAAGTTAATGCTATAGCCATACAGACATTATGATACTGACATAAAAATGGAGAAACAGATCAATGGAACAGAATCAGGAGCCCAGAAACAAACCCAAGCATAATGGTCAACTGATACTTGACAGGGGAATCAATAAAAAACAGACCTTTCAATAAACTGATACAGAGATATTTTAGTATTCACATGTTTAAAAAAATGCTAGTCCCATATTGTATAGCATTCACACAAAATTAGCTTGAACTTATCTTTTTAATAGCTGAGTAGTATTCCATTGTGCAGTTTCTACCACATCTTCCTAATCCACTAAACTGTCTACAGGTAATTAGTTTTTTCCCATAGTATGGTTATAGTAAATAGTGCTGCAAAAAAACATAGGGATGCATCTACCCTTTTGAATTATTGTTTTTATATTCTTTAGGTAGACATCTCAGATTGGAATTGCTGGATCATATGGTGATCCACTTTTTATAGTCTTGAGAGCCTACATACTGTTTTTTCCATAGAAGCTGTACTAGTTTACATTCTCACCAATGGTGTTCTGACCCCACCCCCCAGCCTCACCAACACTTGCTGTTTCTGATCTTTTTGATGTGAGTCATTCTCACAGGTAGGAGGTGGTATCTCATTGTGGCTTGATTTGTATTTCTCTGATGATGTGATGATGAGTATTTTTTCATGTCCCTGTTGGTCACCTGGATGTATTCTCTTGAAGAATGTCTATTTAGTTCTTTTGCCCATTTTTTAAATCTGCTGTGCAAATGATATACTCCTGTCATTTGTAAAAGCATGGATGGAACTGGAGGATATTATACTAAGTGAAATAAGTCAGAAAGATGGTGTTAGGACTTAGTCTACCAGAGTACAAGGGGATGAAAAGTAGAGCAGATGGTAAGGAACATTATGAGTGTGTTTGTAGTGCATATGGTAATGGTAACAGCACCTGAAAGGGGTGAACCTATACTTCTAAATCTTATGCAACATTGTAAGCCAATGTTACCTCAATAAGAAAAGTCAGCTCGAAGTAGATTAGAGTCATAAATGTAAAAACTGAAACCAAGAAACTACTAGAAGAAAATATGAATAAAATTCTTTGATATGGGTCATGGTAATGATTTTTTGAATATGACATGGAAAGCACAACAGAATAAAAAGTAAACAAGTAGTACTACATGGAACTAAAAAGCTTCCACATATCAACATAAATCATCAACGTAGTGAAAAGACAGTATGGAATGGGGAAAGTATTTCAAAGTATATATTTGAAAAAAGGTTTAAAACTTAAACAATTAAATAGCTGAAAAACAAATAACCCAATTAGAATTGGGCAAAGGAACTGAGTAGACGTTTTTTAAAAGAAGATATATAAAAGATCAATAATACACAAAAGCATATACTTAAGATGCAAATTAAAGCTACAAGGAAATGTCACTATCATCAAAAAGGTAAGAAATAACAAATATTACTATGGGTTTGTAGAAAACCGAATCATTGTACACTGTTGATGGGATTATAAATTGGCCCAGCCATTATAGAAACAGAATGGAGGATCCTTCAAGAAATTAAATATAGAGCTACCAAATGATCCAGAAATTCAATATACACATACATATACACAAATATATATACATATACAAGCATATACACACATATATACACACACATATAGTGGAATTAAAGGAGGAAATCTACCATTTTTATCAATATGGCTGGATCTTGAAGGCAATATGCTAAGCCAAATAAATATGACAAAGAAAAACAAATACTGCATGATTTTACTAATAGGTGGAATATAAAAAACAAAACAAAATAATCTCAAAACCAAACAGAAAAAGAAATAAGACTAATGGTTACCAGGGTTTAGGGTAGGTGGAAAAGGGATTGGAGAAAGGTGGTCAAAGGAAGAAATTGTCAGTTATAAGATAAATAAGTAATAAGTAAGAAACAATGTACAGCACAGTATAGATGATGACTATAGCTAATACTATTATATGCTATATACAGAGTAAATTCAAAGATGTACTCTCATCACAAAAAGGAAGCATTTTCCTTATTTTATTTTTTCTTGATATTTTATATCTATGAAAATATAGGTATTAGCTGAACCTACTGTGGTAATTCTTTTACAATATACATAAATTAAACCATTATGTATTAAATCTTAAACTTACACAGTAATGTGGGTCAATTTCTCAATAAAAATGGAAAAATAAATGACTGCTTGAATCTTAACAATGGCTCTAAGATGATATTGTACTTACACCAACAGAATCAACTGCTGCATACATAATATCCATCCATCCATTAAATGTTGCCTGTAAAAAAAAATGGCATGTCTTTAAATATTATGGAAACATTATAGTTTGTGTTAAATTAAAGGTAAATATAAGGTAAATATACTAAAATATTTTATTAGTAAGGCTGGGCATATTTCAATATACTGTGTAACTGAGACCATTACCATTTTCATTAGTACATTTATGTTGTCTGCTAACTAAAACTTCTTAGATTTATTGTTAATAACTTTAAAAATAATTTAAGATTCAAAAATTTGAGAGATAAATGTATGCTTATGCTTTCAGCATAACAATTACATCTATAATTGTTACATATATGCTTTTCTAAGGGTCCAGCTAAACGAGAAATGATTTATCTCCTCACATTTGGTAGATGTTGGATCACTGAGAAACTAGTCCTGAAAAAAACTAAATAAAAAGCAAATAAACCAACAAAAAAACAAGCAATAGTAACCAACTGTTTGGTACTGTCAGACCAAAGAGTTGTGATTCTATTACCTGATCAGTGGCAAAGGATATATGTTTGACCAGTATTTGCCATTTCCTCTATCAATCTCACCTTTATTTCTTTCTCCCAGTGGAGTGGGGGCTGTTTTTCACTTTTGTCTCTCCAAATTAGATGGCTACAGTAGTTTCCACAACATGTAGCTCATATTTCACAATTGCTAAAATACTCCGTAACCCACTCTATCAATAATTTAGCTTTTGCCCTTTATGCTCACTTACAATAGGTATGGTCACATAATTGATTGAAAAAAATAAAACTGTACTTACTACTTGAAGCAATGAAAGGAAACTATTTCCAACATTATCAAAATTCATTATTTTGTTCTCCCATGACATGGAGTCATTAGCTACAAGATTTTCACATGCACTCATATTTATGACTTGGGTTGCAGGAAGTTTTTCTCTACTTTTTGTATCAATGCAGCTATAGAATGTGCCAGCAAATAAGTATACTCCCATGATGCTAAAAGTCAGCCAGATCATCAGGCAAACCAGAAACACATTCACAGCAGGTAAAGTTGTTTTTATCAAAGCTCTCACAACCACCTGGCATAAAAAAAAAAAAAGTAAAAACAACAAACAAACAAAAACATATCAACTCTAGATAAGAAATGAGAAAATACTTTCGTCAAAGAGAAAAAGAGAAAATATTAATCTAAAATACTGAAGTAATAAAAACATTCATCTCTAGTTAATAGGTGACATACCAGTATTTGAATAACTGAAATAGCAATCACATTTTTATTAAAATATATATTAATATACAGATATTCTCAAAATTTGTACACCTAAAACCACCAAAATTCAGCAGAGCTGGTTAGTATGAGTACTATAATAAGTAATAATTTCATTGATTTAACACATTTAACAACTTCTTATATTGTGCAAGAAATGGGCAAGACAATTGAAACTATGTGAGTGCATGAAATTATCAAGAAAACCAGAATGTGCAGTAAATGGACCTATATCTAAGTCTTTGTAATTATCAACTTATTTGGTATTAAAGTACAAAGGAGTATGTGATGGAGTATTGAGGGAAATAATAGAAAGCCCAGGAAATTGCAGTTCAGCAAAGACAAGAAAAGAAATTATTTCAAAAAATATTGAATGGGCTTCTAAAACCATGATCCTACTCACTAAACTCCTCTATGTCATTCATAAGCCACTCCAAAGTGGGAACTTTGGAAAAATTGACTACAGTTGTACATGAATGAGAGCAATAATTTACAGGCATTGTCTCCTTTACTCAATATTACAAATAGAATTTCAAATTCTGTTCCACATTAGCGATTTTCTGACCTTGAATTAACATTTGACTTTTAATTGTGTATTCAATAACAGAAATTTAGTTAAAAATTCAGTCATAGCCAGGCAAGAAACTAATAATAATAATGAACAGCTATATACCAGGAACATTTTATGGGGGTGGAGTGGGGAATGGGATCAAAAACAGTGGGGGGAGGGAGATGCACGGGACTATGGTGATGGCACACGGGTGATTTGGTGATGGGAAGCACATGGGAATTACAACTGAGATGGAAAAAGGCACAAAATGATGTAAAAACAAACTATTATATTATTTATTTAAAAATAAAAATGAAGGGTATTTTAAAGTAATTATTCAGGGTTTAAACAAAATTCCAATAAAATAGGTCTTTTGAAAACCTAAAACAAAACTCAGTCATAGATCCTTTGTTTACACTTTAAGACACCCATGGATATCTCTGGTGGAAAATGTTATTAGAAGATATACACAAATGTAAGAATAAAAGCAATGGCTATGGTGGACAAATACTTGAGTAGTAAGAGCACCCAAGAGTTGAAGATTATTAAATACATAAGACAGTATTTTTTAATTCAAGTAGCTTCCTTACTTAATAATATATCATCAGAGATAATTCAACTACAGAACTTCCAGGGATTAAGATGCAGTTTGAGACCTGGTCTAACCCTCATCACCTAACCAAAGCTGCTGTGTAGCTGATCTTGCTTGTCTGTTGCTATCTATGTCATTGATGATCACATGAGTTTATGGTATCAGAGATTACGGAGCTTAGTTTTTGACAAAGGGAGCTTCCTTACCAAATCTCTTCTTACTTTTCTCCAAATTGAGGGCAGACAATTTGCTGATTTGGGAACACTTATCACCTACTCTTCCCTGTGTATTTAAATTAATTAGGAAAAAATAACCTGATATTATCCCATGATATTTTTATAATAAATGATTTATTACATTCATCATCTAATTTGTGTTTGTGTGTGTGTGTATATATATATATATATATGTATGTATGTCTGTCTGTCTCAGTTTCACTGACATATAATCGACAAGAAAGATTACACATTTTTCAGATACACAAGTGATGGTGACTTAGTATGTGTATACAATGTGAAATTATTATCATTATCAAGCTTGTTAACATATACATCACCTTACATATATGCCTTTCTGTGTGTGGTGAAATCACTGAAGTTCTGCTCTCAGAAAACTACAAGTGTACGTGGATGACAGTATTATTGATCGTTACTATGCTCTATATTGGATTCCCCAAACTTACTCATCTTATCACTGAGAGTGTATATCCTTTGACCAGCATCTCTCCATTTCTCCTACCTCTCAGCAGCTATGATTTAAAAGACCATGTGTAGTTAAAGCCCTAGATTATTACACAAAATTTCCCTATCATTATTTTTTAAGTTTTAAAAGATTATTCATTTATGCATACAAGACCTGGGGTGTAGGCCAGAGGTGTGGGGTTGTTGGGCTGAGAGGATTGACCAGTGACAGAGTGGGGAGCAGAACAGGCAGATTACTGAAATAAACTGATGAGGAGAGTGGCAGGCAAGACAGGAGAGGTATGCTGTGTCATGTGGGTCAGCTCCAGGTATCCAATTCATGTTACAGTGGCTAGTGATAGCTTGATAGTGCTGAGACTTTAACCCCTGCACCAACTGTGAGGCCCAAATTTCCCTATCACTATACTGTTTATGCTGTAAAATTTGTTGTGTTGTCATTTTAACCTCAGTCTTACAGATCTCTGCAACTTCATTTTAACTTATTTTCCTCCTTATTTAAATTTGAAATCACTGGGTAATATCAATGCCTTGCGGAGATCCATAATGTTGTCAATTAAAAGTTCATGTTAAAAAGGCACAAAATGATGAAAAATGAGCTATTACATTATTAAAAATATATATAAAACAAGAAAAAAGTTCATATTATAATATAAATTACAATGAATATTTGAGATTTTTGTTTTCTCAGAGTCTAATCATTGGAGTTTCTCTGTATTCACAACATAATCTAAATGTTTTTCCCCAATGTCAGCAAATAAAATGCATTTGGAAAACAGAATAATCATGTTTAAGCTCTATTATTATGAATGAACTACAGATTTATGTTTACTCTAAAATATTATCATGTAATTTCACATATTCAAATAGAATTAATACAGTTAACACTGCATATTAAAATACATGCATATTATATACTCATTTCACTATACTATATATTGCACTATTCAAATATTAGAATATGCTTTTAGAAAATACATATTTTAAATTATTATATATCTATTTGGAGTTATAATAAATCACTGATTTTGAGATTCAGTGCAACATTAATCAAATATTACTGTAAAATTAATCAAATAGACAATCTATTCTTAATTATGTGAATGGAAAATGTAAATGTATGGCTATGAAAAAAGGTAAAACTAGACTGTTTTCTGCAATTTTTGCATACATTTGATTACTGTGTATACGCATAAATAAACTACTGTGTATATGCATAAATTTACCACTTTTAGGTTGAACTGTATAGACTTCCATTGTATGTTTGGACTCCAAAGGTTGAATAAAGTTTGGCCATTTCATACGGTTTGTGTATATTTCCTGACATTGTTCAGAGGGTTTTTAACATGGGTATATGATTCACTATGATCTACACTTGAAACAATATAATGTTACTTAAACATTTTTTAAAAAGAGATCTTAAAAAATCTACTGGAGGAAGGGCTGGTAAGGACTCAATATGTGATATGTGACTTTAAAAAAGTAAAATGTACAATTTTAGTTAGTTTACCAACCAAAATTTCATTTTCTCTTAGTTATGTATTTAACATTGAGGTAACAATATAATATATCCATGTGGGTTATAATGGTATTGCTTTTTAACACTGAAGTATAATTGACATTTTAGAATTATTTTTTGCTTCTGGTGTGCATTACACTGGTTTGATTTTTGCATGCACTGCAAAATTATATCATAATAATAAATGATACGACTTTTTGAAACTATATTTTCTTTAACTAATAGGGATTTCTTCATCAGTTTCCAAGTCTTATTTATGATTAATAAAGACCTAAAATCTTAATAAGAAGTACAACTTTACCCTATATTTATGTAATTTGGGGGGGGAGATTAATGTTGGTTAGTAAAATAAATGAGAAGACCTCTATAATTCACTAATTATGGAGAATTACCCATCCTAAATAAAAATTTACAGGTTCATTTAGAACTGCTGTCTTACCTTCATTCTTTCAAACTGAGATAGAACTCTGAGTGCCCGAAGGAATTTAAAGGAAGCAAGTAGTTTCAGTCCATCCCGAGACTTGCCTATTGAGCTAAGACAAAAAACCTAGGAATATATATGAAAAGTGAATAGTATTTAAATTTAACTTTAAATAAAACAATTTATAAGACAGACTGTATTTATTACAGGAAAGATAGTCAAAACTTACTGAGAAATATTTACAAAAGATTTTAATATATCTTACCAACGACTTACAGAAAGGTATAAGGAATTAATTTTGAGCTGAAATCACTTCAAAAAAGAGAAAATAAAAAATATATTTGTTAGGGAATGTGCATTAATTATAGGAGATAAACAAAATTTTTATCTCATTAGATAAATCAAAATTGTAGATTTGAAATTCTTTATTATCAAAGACTAATATTCATCATCATTTTCTAGCTTGAAATTAGAGTAAGGCTATATTTCATGATTATTTGCAATATAATAATAGTATACTATGTATTCATTAAGATAAACTTTTTACATATATCCATGCATAAATATGAGACAATGTGCAAAATAGGACTTCAGATGAGAGGGATCAATGAGGACATAAGTGTTGTTTTGTTCAAGTTTAAATTACAAATTGGTGTATTGAATCACTAATTTTAAATTAAATACACATGCATAAAAATGATTCAAGCATAATAAATATTAATGGACATTAAGAAAAATGGTAGAGTTACGATTTTCCCTACTTTATCTTCATATTTTCTATACTTTCATGGTAACATAAATAAAAAAAGTTGTTTTTCACCCTCTACTAAAGAGATAGTGTTGAAGTGGGCTCTGAAGTGAGGATATCATTTATATAAGCATGAAAGGATATGGAGACATAACAACAATGGTCAGGAAACAGAAAGATGGGTTGCAGGTGCAGTGTGGTTTGGTTAGAGTAGGTTAATACACAAAAATTAATTTAGAAGACAGAGGTCAAATATTATGTTGATTTTTATAGGTTGAGAAGCTTTACTCATTGATTATATAACAGGGAGACATTTGTTCATTTGACAAGCGACACCTACTGTGTGACAGGAATTGTTATAGGTACAGGGAATAAAGGAGGTAGCCACACAGAGAAAACCTTCTACCCTAACTGAACTTAACTTAGTGATAGAAGAAAAGTTTATAAGCAAAATCAATTATTTTAATAGATGACTGGGAAATGAAGAAAACAGAAAAAGAAAAGGAAGCATTGGGATGATTGCAGTTTTAAATAACATAGTGAGGAAAAACATAAATTCATTAATTTAAGTAAGACTTAAATGATGTGAGTCAGCAAAAATTCCAAGTGGAAGGAAGAATGAGTGCAAAGGCACTGGGAACATAATTCTGTTATGTTTGAGGAGCATCATAAGTTGGTGAAGCAGTACAGAGAGCAGGGTGGGAAGATGGGGAGAACAGGTAGATGTTGGGTTGGATCATACAGAGACTTCTAGGCTGTTTGCAAAGATCCTAGCTGTTAGGCTAAGTGAGATGGGGTGTTTATTGAAAGATTCCAATAAGACTGGTGATTGCAGCTGACTAGTAACTGGTTGCTGTGCGGAAAATGGTATACAGTCACACAGTGGTGGGAACAATACTAGTAGTTAGGAATCCACTGCAGTCATCCAAATGAGAAGCTTTGGTAGCTTGGACCAGTGATAATGGTGAAGGCTACGATAAGAAGTCTAATTATGAATATATAATAGAAAATCAAATTAACAATATTTACAGATTTTAGGGTGAGGATATTGTCAGGATACTGTCCAAAAGCCTCATTTTTGAGGCTTAAAAATGACTTAAAAGAGTCATGAAGTGTGGGATTTTGTAAATTTTAGGATGAGAAAATGTTAACCATTACAATTCAAAAACTATGGGAAAGTTGGTGACTGAAAATGTACAGAGAGACAGAGAAGGAAGATAAAAATAATGGAATGCTACTTGATAAAAGAGTAAAAAGAAATAGTAAATCGAGTAATTTTTACTTTTTTATTTTAAGTACGTACAATAACAACCAGGAAGTCTAGCCTGTACCATCCATTTCTGAAATAAGTTTTAAAACCATATGCCATCCACTTCAGAAGCATTTCCAGAATGAAGATGTATGTGAAAATCATGTCAGCATATTCTAATAAGATTTTAATAGCCTTTCTCTGATCAATATATATATCTTCAAAAGCCTGTGAGTAAAAAACAATCAGGATTAGTATACATGCAATTTCTAGAAATTCTTTGGGCAGAGATGGAAATGAATTCCCAGTTCCTAGATAATGAGAGATGTTACAGATTGTAGCCTCAACTGCTGGCTCATTTTGTGTGTATTTATTCACATATCCCTAAAGAACCATTTTATGATCTCATGCTAGATTAGGTATCATTAACTGATTGGAGAACTTATCAGGACTAAACTTGATGTCAAAAGTAGCTTAAAAGGTGATCCAAAAACCATCTCTCAAATCAGTTTGATGAAACACATTCAAGAGACAGAACTTAGTGACATCTAACATAGTTTTTATCTTTAATTCTATGTAGCCAATTTATAAATAGATATGTTATTTGCTAAGAGAGAAGCAAGGTGTCCAGAAAACCACAGTATCATAAAAAAAAAAGTCATGATTTTTTTCTGCACTGAAGAAATGATCAGATAAATTGAGGGAAACATGAATATGACAGAAAATTATAATTGGTTTTACAAAGCTCAGTTTTAATAAGCTAATGTTACTGTGAAGGATCTAAAGTTTGATAATATCACTCAAAGAGATTTTATATTGCTTTTATCTTAGCACTCAAATAGACAATAAGATAACAATGGCATCAGGCAGACTTGCATCAAGGTCAAGAAGTAAACAAGGATTAGAATAATTTTATGTAAAGTGTGTGACTTTGAACAAATTAGGGAGTAAAAACAGCTTCATAAGCAATTAAAATATAATTTAACATTCTTTTAAAGTATCTTATTATATGTCTTTATTTTTTGAATAGGTAAGTAATGCAAAAAGATTATATATATATATATATATATATATTCTGAATCCTCTGCTTCACTTGAAGATGGGTCAAAAGGATCTACAACAATTCAAGTTCACAGCTAGCTATCTGTGTGGATGTGTGGAATAGGGAAGTAACTGAGGAATCAGCATAATTCTAGAGTCTAGGTGACAAAATTTCTTAAGTGGCAGTTACACAGGTACATTCATTTTGCAAATCCCTTTATGCTTCTTACTTATGTCTTACAAAGTTTACTTAAGAAATATACATACAGTACAAAATGTAGTTCTCAACCGTGGCTCCATATTCTCTGTTCTCTATATTTCATAAATAACAATTTTGTATTTTTTTAATCTTTAATCAAATATAAGTAAACATCAATACACATTATATTTTTTCCATCCCTACATAAAATATAGCATGGCACATACTTTACTCTAGATCTTTCTTTGTACTGCTTATAAAGTATGCAGACAGTTTGTATTTTTAAATAGCTGTCCAGTATTCCATTGGGTGATTGTACCTGGTATATTCAAGTAGTCACCTATTATGCACTCTTTCTGCTTTTCTACCTTTTGCTATTTCAGACAAAACACTTAGGTGAACAGCCTTATAAATGCTTTTAATATTTGTAAGATATTTGTAAGATAATCTCAGGGAATTAAGAAAGTTTGATCAATGGGTCAATATGTTTATTTTTTAAACATTTTAAAAAAGTATATTGATTACATTGTCCTTCATTTTGTACAATCTATGATTTCCCTGTGAAATTCCTACAACCAAGTCACCTGTGTGCCATTGCCATCAGGCTTTGTGCTCTTCCTACTCCATAAACATCCTTGAAAGGATATGTAACACTTCTTTTACCTTATTGAATAGGTACATACTGCTAAACTTTAAAATTTTATTAAAATAAATTATTAGGTATCAATTAACATTCCTTTTTCTCATTACCATTCATATAATCTAAAATAGCATTATTTACAGAATATTGAATAGGGAACATTTTATAGACTTCCTAAGAAGGCATAGTGTATATTTTCCAAAACTAAAATCACAGAATATAAAATTTGGTTAACAATAAGTATTATAAGAAAATAGTGTGACCCATTAATTTATGAATTGAAAAACTCATTATTATTTTCCTATTAACATAATATATTCTCACTTACCAGAGCACCTGCACTAACCAGAGTAACAAGGCCAATGAAGCACTTAAAAAAACTGTTTTCTACTATCTTGCAGCAGGTTTTCCTTATGTTCTGCCAAATTTTCCCTTTCTTGGATTCTCTACTGATTTGACCCAGTGAAGATCTTTGTCCATAACCTGTCAAGAATGAAACTGTTACAAACAAAAATCTAGGAAATTCTTGAAAAAAAGTCTTGTTCTTTCTACTTCATTTTTTAACAATTATTTATTATAGACTCTAATACGTGGTCTCTGATGTAAAGACATTTAATTGTTGTCCCTGCTATAGAAGCTACTGTAGTCACTGAGGGAGATTAAAAGAAAACTTGTGAGCTTGATAATAGTAGGAGGAGAGAAATTATGAAAGATATGGATGACTTATAAAATCCCCTCACCCCAAAGAACAGTCTGAGAATAGAACTTCTCACCTACAACACACCAACACACACACACACACACACAAATAGCTCCATATATCATATTTTGGTATAATGCCTGAAAGTTAGTCCTTTGCAGAGCTGCATGTCATAGTAAGAATTCCATTTTAAGATGCAAAGAGTTAGGAGGTATTAGGGGAGTCAATGTCAACTAAGTCAATTAAATTAATCCAAACTGTTAGGTGGATGAGAATGAGGTTTTGATAGAGACTACTGAAGAAACCTACCTGTACTGTGATTTATTTTGTGGGTAATATACATGTGAATAGATTTAAACTCTATCTTCTGGTGAAGAGAGCTAGCATAAGAAAAACCTGAGGCTTGAGAGAAGAGAGGAGCTAACCATAGATTTTGCAATACTATTTACTATTTATAATAGTCAAGTTAAGAAAACAACCTACATGCCCAACCACTGATGAGTGGAGAAAAAAGATACGGGACACATACATAATGGCATACTACTCAAATGTAAAAATACATGAAAAACCCAGAAATATGAATATGACTGAAGAATTAAGGGTACTAGAAAGGAGTGTTTCCAGTGGTCTGTGATGGAAGACTAAGGGTATATTTGGTGGTGGGTGTTGTACAGTAATAAAGATCAGAAGAGGTGTGAACCTGTTCTGTTTAATCATGTACAGTGCTGTAAATCAATGTTACCTCAAAAAAAAAAAAGTTAACGCATTTTATTTTAGGATATTGTCTATGTCAATATCCTAAAAAAGAAAGAAATGTCCTGGATAATTGTGTCCTAGGATTCAGTTTTGGAGAGTAGATTATTATTTTGATTATCAGAATATGGAACACTTGGCAATTGCCATTTGAATAATTTCCAGTCAAATATATAGAACCTGTAGTTCTTTCTTTGTTAATCTTGTTAGGAAACCAATCTGTAGTTTAAGTCATCAAGAGATGTGTGTTACATATTGAATGAGAAAGCCCATTTACTGAAATCTCATATATTTCTTAATATTCATGTAGAATTTTACATTACATGATTTGCTTTCCTGTGAAAGTTACTGGATATTTTCATGAGTGTTTTTTTTTTTTTTTTAAGATTTATTTATTTGTGCGTACAGAGCTGGGGTACAGGCCAGAGGCTCAGGGGCGGTGAGAGGCTTCACCAGAGACAGAGTGGGGAACAGAACAGGCAGATCGACGAAGTACACTGCTGAGGGGAGCAGCGGGCGGGTCAGGAGAGGTCTGCCACACCATGTGGTCACCTCCAGGGCAGGCGGGAATCGAACTCATGCAGAAGTGGCTTTGGATTCTCAGTGCTGTGCTTCAACCCGCTGCGCCACCAGGGAGGGCCCATTTTCATGAGTGTTTTAAATATTGATGCCATTCCACAAGGCAAGATGCTTTTATTTCATTTGTATATATGCACTTTTCAATATTGTTTACTTATGCTAATTTTGTTTTATTGTGAAATCATTATTCTGATGAAAAAGTTACATAGCTATCAGCATAAATTTTAATTTAAAACAGTATTTTCAGCATGAGAAATGAATTTTATGATTAATTTATCAATATATTTCTTATCAATACAATCTTAAAAATACATTCACATAACCTTATTCATAGTTCTCTTTTGTATTAACTATATTCTACAAGTTGAGTTATGAAGTAGGATGATGGTAGCATTGAAGATAACTGGAATGCTTTTATTTTTTAAAAAATTGATCTTTTTCTTCTAAGATTATGCACACACAGAGACATACATGCATATTTGATATGTTTAGCAATTCCATGAGTTGAGTCTTAGCATTATCCACATTTTACAAATTAGGAAATGAGTCAGAGAGAGAGGGAAACAATGAAGTGGAATGGTATTTGACCCAGGTTAACTATTTAAAGAATCAACACTTTATATTACTGCAACAGACTCTTTGGTCTCTCTTTTTCAAGAACTGATTTTTCCCCGTTGATATTTATTACAAGATGCTATCAGGATTCATGTATGCACATGTGTGAGTGAGAGTGTGTGCAAGCATATTCATGTGTTTATATTGCTTTATCAAGTTAATAAATGCTAAAGTTGAATATATATCTACAGCACCATTTAATTAAAAGAAATTCAATGACAAAAGGGACATATTTTTTCTTACCTTTCTTAAGATGCCTTGACTTTTCATGTTCATAGACCATTTCTTCTTCCTCAGAGATAACAATATCAACTGTACTGCATTCAGATGAGCTAGACTGCTTAACCTTCTGAAAAATAAATCCCCCAAAACTTGAAGTTTAATTACTCACCACAGTAAAAGTTTACTGCATTTTCAGAAATATAAAAAATTATGTACAGAAAGAATATTATATGGTTTAAAAGACTGCAGGCCAATTTGATGATTGATATTATACTATATACATGTCTTCACAAATTGAGAGAAATTATTTTAAAATACTTAATTTAAACTAAAAGTAATTTTAATTTGAAATCAATGTTTATAATACTGTTATCCCAAAAGATGTATAGACTATCACTAGTTTCTAAAAGGATACTGGTTCCAAAATTTTCTTGAAGTTATTCACAAGGCTCTAGAATATGCCATTTCAATTAGATAAGCAGCACTGAACTAAACCAGATGTAAAAGGTGGATAAATAATTGTCCCTGTAGTTTTTACTTTAAATTCACTCTAGACATTGTTATGTAAGTCATTATAGCTTGATGTTAGGCTATCCTGAAGTGAACTGAAGACAGGCAAAGAGAACAGGGTTACTAAGAACAGTGGTACCATCATATGGAAAATGGTTCAATACAGAAATTGGAATTCTTTGCACTTTGCTCTTGACTGAAATTCGAGACTGCCTAGGTCTATGGGGTCTTTGGTGGTAGGAACCATATGGCAACAATGCTTAAAGAGGGGTTTCTACACTACCTTTATAGGTACAAAGTAAATCAATATTAACTCAGCAAAAAAGATATTGAAAAAACTAAGATATGGTAGTAGTGGTTTTGAACATGCATTGTTAGTGCATTTTTAGCCTGTACTTAAAATGATTTTCTCATGATGACTTGCTCTACCTTATTTAAAACTGGATATAAAACATTTAATACCTTGAAATGGCTAAGATCCTAAATTTAATAGGCTATAAACTTGTCTTCTAATTAATAAAATCAAGGTAGGTATATTAAAATTTTTGGCAACAAATCACTCTTATTCTTAAAAGTTCAGGGAAAGATCTAGGTAGATCATATAAGGAAGGAAGTTACAAATATTTCATCCTACTTTTATGCATAATAAGTGTCAAGGAAACATAATTAGGAATGTTTTCTTCAGATATTATATGGCCAATTGTCAGATATTATAGTGTTCAATTTAAAAATATATATACAACAGGATATTATTCTTAATAGCTGTTCTTTAATTTTAAGTTCCTTTACATTTTATTTATTTTTAGTGAAATAAAGGCTAGCAATGTACAGATTTTGGGAATAGACACTATGCAAATGAAACATATAATATTTGGATATTCAATGACTGAAAATTATGCATATTATATATTTTAGTGTTTTTAGAATTCTTACACTATTTGACAAGATTTTCCCCCAAACCCTAAAATTATAAAACAAAATTTATAGTAGATTACTTAATGGCATGAGAAAGTGACCACACCACATTCACATTATTTATTATGAAAAACAAGCTACAAAACCAAAGGAAATTTTGTTATTTTACTTACAAAAATCATATAGTTAAATATTTGCAGTAAAAATTCTGAAACTTTACATATCATAGAAATAAGAGTATAATGTATCTTCAAATTATCAGAGCATCAAAATTTTATAACAATTTTTTTGGATGTTGTAGATCAACTTCTAAAATACTCAGCATCTTAAACATTCAATGTCTTAAATATATAACATATAATAAGTAGGTAAGTCTTAAAATAAACATACAATTAGTGAACAAATCTCCTGTGAGTAGTTAACCAATCAACAGGACTCAATAATGCAGTATAAATGACAACTTCTGAAACCTAAACAGTCATGTTATCTTCTATCTATCCTGTTTTCACATCATGAACCCGCTAATATGATTGACATGTACTCTATTTTACTAGAAGCAGATGTAGCAAAATGAAGATGGAGAACTATGTTACAGAAGAAATTTCCTGCTTAATGTTGATACTATTAATTACAGGAAAATAATGAGAACAACAAATGTGCTAAGGAGTGTAATTGTTTCTCTAAAACAAAGATGCCTTTACTAGGAACTTAAAGTATTCTGAATAATTCAAACTTAATTCCTATTGGAAGGCCAATTTAAGAAGTTACTGCTGAGAGCAGTTTCCTACCCTGAAAACATCTGAAGGACAAGACCATGCTAGAGACTTCGGGGACCTAGCAAGACACATTCTCTACTCCTTTACAGGATGACAGACAAATGAAGCAAAAGGCGAGAAGGTGATGATGTTTTTGCAATCTCTCTAAATTTAGCTAACTTTTAAATCACACCTCCTACTAAGACATTATGCAGCTGGAAAATGAAGACAGTTAAGACTGTACTCAAAGGATTTATGTTTTAGAAGCCAACACTGTGACCTCTCCCTCCTTTACTTTTTTGACCAGGTATTTTATAAAGTTACAAGCTTTTCACAATTCAATTTAAACTGGTAGTTTTCTTTATTCCTTTAGTCCACTTGAATTATATATATATATATATATATATATATATACACACACACACACACATATATTATCTTAGCATTTTAGCAAGCAAGTATGAAAGTCTCTTAGCACTAACTTTGTCTACCTCACATTTTAAGGTCCAGGAAAGCTTAATGGTTTATGGAAAGTACACACTGATTTTTGAAACTTAGATTTTTTACTGTGTTTTTTATGAACCCTCACTGCCTGCTTATTAATTTATAGAATGTTATAATTATAGTCAATGTTTACTAAGTGCCTACTATATACTAGGGGTGGCTCTATGCACTATTGAGTTATTTGTCTTAATTCATCTATAACTTTTAAGAAATATTATTCTCATTTAGAAATGACGAAACTGAAGCTTATAAAGTTAAAGTAATTGATCAGGAGCAAAAAATATCAGGATCAAAGAATAGTATAGCTAGAATCAAATGGGTACTAATTTTGGAACTTAACTATTGGTTCACTTCTTTATCAACAATGCAGTAATCAAAATTATGCAACCAGGATATTAAAATACCTTACCTCTTTGCTGCTTCCATCTCCTGATTTGCTCTGAATTTCTTTATTATCCAGATTTTCTATATCAGATTCTCCTGAAGCAATTGGTACAGATTCAGAGACACTGGGACTGGGCATTAGTGAGAGGCTCTCATTTTCAGTCATTGTATTTTTCTCTGTGCCACCACTATTTTCCTTATCTTTGAAGAAATCTTGGGTATTGCTCAATTCAGAAAGTGTATGGTCAGAAATATTTTCTTTGACTTGTTTGTCCTTTTCATTGTCCCTTGTCTCCTTTAGAGCATTTTGTTTTTTACACAATATTTTTGAAAGCACACAATTTATTCCTTTCTTAATTCTTGCCATTGCACGTTGGAGATTTTTTGATTCATCACTTTCTTCAATTGTTTCAGCTTTGTATGAACTAAATGAGCTCACCAGTGCCAGAAAAAGGTAAAATATCTAAATGAGGACATAAGATAAGTTTTAATGTATCTTGTTTTGTTTTTCCTTTCAAGCAATTAAATAAATTGTAAAATTGAACTGATTTGAAATTTGAAAACAGCATATGAATTACAGTGCTATCCAATTCTACATCTACAATGGGCTAGGTGCTGTGCTAGAGCCACAATTCTCTTTAATGTCTATGCAATATGTTTGTTTCTCTTTTATAGATAAAAGAGGTAAGGCTTACTGATGTCTGAACAAGGTGATCCATACTGAACTCAAGTCTGTCTCAACCCAAAGCTTGTTTTCTTTCACAGATCCAGGTTGCCTCTCTCTAGTTGAGAACATGAATTGCTATTCCATTTCCCTATAGTTCAATCCCAGGAAGATATGTAAAGATATTACCAAGGATTTTGCAAATCCTGTAAGGAATCTCATGGGAGAGAGCTCTGCCAAGTTTTGAAACTCACCTCTAATTTTCACTATGATATGCATGTATAGGTACTGAATAAGTTAGTTGAATCTCTGTGGTAGTTAATTCAATCAAATAGGAAAGATAAGAGTATTGGGAGTTTATTTCTATTACTTGAACTCAAGGATAGTATATGATTGGCTTTTACCATCATCACTAAGAAATATGATGAAGGCATGTTCAGTTTCCAGAGTCTCAGTTTATTTTATCTTAATATAGATACTACTATTGGATTCTAATACAAACGATTCATATTGATTATTCTCAAAATTAAAATAATAATGTGGGCATTTTGTCTATAGGGAAATTTGTGCCTTTTAAATATGTAGCTATGAAGATTTAATTTATGATTTCACATTATTTTCAAAGGGAAAGTTCAATGGCATTACACTAGGCTTAAGAATCTACTTATATGTTTATGTATTTTGTATGTAAGTATATATTTATATATTTTACATTACTTACATTTTCCTACCTACTTCTAATTTCTTCACATTTTAAGATCTAGTCTTGTAAATAATTATGATAATCTATGTGTACAAAAAATAAATAAGTGTATAAAGTTCTTCAAGTACACATTTGTTAAAACTTCCTCCAGAATTCTGGCTTTACATGAAGAGATGAAGTTCTCACATGCTCAGATAATATGTCTCTCTTATGCACATATATATCTGAGACAATATGGGCTGTGCATCATACAGTATTCAATCCTAATGGACTACTTTACTTCTTTCTCTGGGGTTCCGTGGCCCTCATAGGAGCTGAACCATTAGCACCTGTCATCCTCAAAGGACAATGAGCTCAGGAATAGAAGGCAACAACAAACATAATTTAAGATAGTTGGTTCTTTTCCCTAATTTCTCTAGTTAAGTATTAAAGCAGTGAGAAATAATGTAAAGTATAAAAGGTTAGCATTTTATGATTATTAGCTTATGAGGAAAAATAGTGTTTTCTCTGAAATAGTCAACTGGCACAGTATTAGGAACACAGTAGGTGGTAAATATTTTTTAAAATATTCCATAACTCATTATGGAATAAATAATAGTTTTTGTGGCATGGTTCAAACAAGGGAAAATATGCTATAATAAATAATTGTATTAATTGGGTAAAATATCTGGAAATTTTATCTAACTGAAACTTAAATAAATAGCTATTTTCTGGATATTCAGGAGTTAAAATTTTTAGAACTGAAGGAAATTAAAATATAAATATTTATATAGTACTAAAATATTTCATTAAAATTACAGTTTCTGTGTAAGACATATATTACTTTATCACCCTTCTACTAAAGCTTAAGCTTGCCAAGCTTAAAGAACTATTTAATATGTACAGTAACTTAACTAGAAATGATTTAACTGAAATTTGAGCCTACATTGCTTGAATATAAACTGTATTTTCCCTAGAACTCAATTTAATTGCATAAAACCATTTAAAAACCACTTTAAACACTTGTTTTTGTTTAAGATGATTGCTTTTGAAGTTTCTACTTGATAGGTAGAAAACTTATTTTGGGTTCTCTGAATTTCTGTTAGTATTTTATTGGAGGAATAAGATAAATCAATTAAAAAATGCTTCTGTTTACACCAATGCTAAACCTCGATGGAAATTTACAAAGCTCTAATGCAGTGAGCTTATGTGGGGTAAAAAAGATATACAATCTGGGGCCCTCCCTGGGGGCACAATGGGTTAAAGCACAGCACTAAGAAGCTAAAGTCACTTCAACCTGAGTTACATCCCCAGCCTAGGAGGTGGCCCACATGGAGTGGCAAACTTCTCCTGACCTGCCCACTGCTCCCCTCAGCAGTGTACTTCACCAGTTGGCCTGTTCTGTTCCTCACTCTGGTGAATCCTCTCACCGCCCCTGCTCCTCGGGCCTGTACCCTAGTTCTGTATGCATAAATAAATAAGTAAATAAAAAACAATGAAAATGATAAACATTTTTAAAAAAAGATATACAATCTCACTAATTCTCTCCTTGTATTTTTCCTCTTGTATTTACATTAGTGTTATTATCATGATGCCTACATGGAGATGACTACTGAAGAGAACAAATCTTAAAACATTTAGAGCTAAGTAGTATGGATGCCAATTAATTATAAATGGAGGCTGTATAATCCCATTCTATCCTGAAACCTCTCTGCCATTGACTTGAGGCTTTGATCAGTAAGAGTAAGAAATATAAAAACTAGAATGGAGTTTAAAAACAACAAAACCCCAGAAATTCAACTATATAATTGCCTTGGGATTTCTGTATTTTTGCCTTTGAATTCATTTCGGTGTGTTGTTTATTTAGACAAGCAACCATGGTCCTTCCTTTTGGTTACAGAAACCTACATTTTATTTGGGAATTCTTTCTTTTCCTATTATGAGTTATATGCTTCAGGTTTGAATTGATGCCATGTCCAGCTCCAAAGGAGGAGGCCTAAGTAGCTTAACAAAATAAAATATATTAATATACTCCACAGAATGGGGAATAAGCAATAAATGCAATCCATGCCCTGAGCAATAGAGATTGGTACAGAAACAGACATGTGATGGCAAATTAATAAAACAACAGGAAAAAACTGCTTTGCTTCTAGAAAAGATTAAAATTTTTCTCTTCTGTCATACTTGGTATGATATGAAGACATGACACTTTAGAATATAGTAGCTCTCTTGACCAACAGAGGCAACCAATCACTGACAGGCATAGAGAAAAACAGATCTGAGATATACAAAGCTACCTCTAAGAATCTCACTTGAACATCTGAATCACAATTGAAATGAGACCAATCTTTGATTCTTTCAGTTATATTATGCAGATAGGTATGCAATAATTTTAATTCAGCTGTATTAGAAAGTTACAAAGCAAAGAATATTGAACTAATTTTACATTTGGGCACAGGTCTGATGAAATAGAGATGAAATAGAGAAAGTTAGATCTTTTTCTCACAGAGCCATATAACAAAGGTAGCTCAGTACATAAGCAAATATAATGCCAATATGGTAAGTATAACATGGAGGCATATCCTATATGAAATGGAAACAATGAAGAAGGGTACTGATGCAATGAAGTTTTATCTGTGATTTTTTTTTTTTTCATTTTTCTTGGGAAATGTACTTGGTCACTATGGTTTATGAGTAAAAGCCAAGTATTCTGTTTGTTTTGCTTTATTTTTAGAACAATTTTCTTTAACAAGACATTCATGTTTCTTAGAATGAAACTTCCTAGGTTATGCCTACTTACCATAATAGTAGAATATCTGGGAAAGATCAAAGACATTATGTATTTTTATTACTTCCCCATGCAATCCTAGTGTACAGCCAAGTTTGGCAACCAGTATTACATTTAAGTGCTTCTTAAAATTTAATGTGCTCATAAATCACCTGGGAATACTGCTAAGATTTAGATTGTGCTTCTATATATCTGGGATGGAGGCCTGAAAGACTACTTTTGATAACTATCTACCACAAGATGTCAATGCTGCTTGGAATAGCAAGAATATAAAATAGTGCTAACTAAAAAAAAAAAAAAGAAGAAGAAGATGCATATCACATACGCTGTTTGGGAGTGGCCCATTAAAAGCATAAACAAAAACCAAGTGAAATCAATACTAGTAATGTGTTTTGTGTAACCAAATGTATCAAAATGTCATTTTAAAATATAAAATATATCCTTTTTTTCTATTAGGCTTTATATTCCATGAGTATTTTACTGTTAAAGCACCTCTCCATTTAGACCATTTATAATTTAACTGATCTGTAGCCAGATGTGGCTAGAGACCACCATATGGAACAGCATAATTAAAAACCACTGAATCCTATGAATTCACATCAGATGATATCAGACTACATTATATCAGTTTTTAAAGAAAATTTGAAAGTGTGGATTACTTACCAGAAAGTTTCCAATTAAAATGACCATCATGTAGAAAGGAATACAACTGAACTGGCCGGCTACCTTAAAGCAGTCCCACAAAGTTTCTATCCACTCTCCACAGAGCATCCGGAACACAATCAGGTAAGAGTGGAAGAAATCATGCATGTGCCAGCGCGGGAGCAGACAGTCTTTGTTTATGTTGCAGACATTTTTTTGGTAATAAAACCCAAGTAGTTTCTGACCCACCACAGCAGAAAAGAATATGAATAAGAACAACAGCAGGACCAAGTCTTTCAGGGTCATCAGTGACTTACTAATAGTCAGCATCAGAATCTTAAATGTTGGCCAGTATTTCCCCAACTTGAAAATTCTCAACTAAAAGAACAAAGTAAAATACAAGAAAAAGAAACAGCACAAAGTTTGCACACTATTTTACAATGCATGTTTAAAATGTTTGTCAGCATCATACTTGTACATACAGTCTTTAATATTCCACTTTAGATATTAATGTTAATCAGTGAAAATTCACTTTAATACAACTCTTGATATAACAGACATGTTCCATATCTTTTCATACAAAATCCGTACATATCTTCAACTGTTTTATTCATTTTCATTCTTTGGTCTATATAATACTACTAATATACTTTTGAATTACACTAGTTTTATGTTTTAACAATTGGTCAGATGACTATCCTTTGTTTTGCTTTTCACCATAATTTGGATATTTTCCCACATTCTGAATATATAGATGGCATTGAAAAGTCTGTCAGGTTCCACAAAATTTTCTACAGTGTATTGCCCTTTTTATGTAACTTTCTGAAGACCAAATGTAATATTTTAAGTCTAGTATGAATTGTTCCCTTCTTTTCACTAGATTAATTATTTAATTTCAATTGATACAGCACAATAATACATTAGCATTTTTGGGTACTGTATTTCAGTCAGTCTAGTCATCTAAAACCCATTATTTTTATATGTGCTATAGTTTTCCCAGTTAGTTTTAATAGCAATATTGCCTTTTCAGATTCAAGAATAGGGCTTCACATTTATCATGTAAAATAAAATCATCTTAAATTCAATCTATTAGTAGCCTTTCAGACATTTTGATACTATCTTTCATCACATTTTGCATTTTCCAGTTTGTTTTAACCATAAATTTGATAAATATATCTTGTATAAAATTTCCTTGCTCATTAGAAAAGTTTATGGATGTGAGTTTAAAACAGGGTTCTGAATAATAACTTGGATAAGATCATATCTACTTAGTTGTCTTGATTCCTAAACATTCCATCAGTATGTTATTATATATAGTAATACATTATTTATCCATGTTTAACATCTCCATAAATACCCATCTAATCATTTTCTTTCCTAGCCTGATTTTCTGAGTCTCACCACCAATCTATATTGCAAACAGATACTGATTCTTACTTAATAATTTTCATAACAACATTAGACCTTACTGTTCTTTTTTAATAAAACTTTTTACCCTACATTTGGAAATACCAGATTTTAGTTGGCTGAAGATTCTGGGAATCAGTAACTTTGACACTAACTACTTTCTCAAGTTGCATATGTTCCTTTATTTAAATACTTACTCTTTCCTGGGACACTTTCTAAAAATTCATATGTCAATTTATTCATTTAATATTCTTAATGTCCAAATGAGACAGTATTACTATTTTAATCAGCTTATGTCTGAGGGAACACATAAAGCTTCATATAAAAAAATTTAGGTGTTAGATTATACTTACCAGCCTGAGTATTCGAAAAGCAGCAAATCCAGGAACATTTGCTAGGTAAAATTCAGTTAAACCATGGAACACAATTAGGCTATCAAAAATGTTCCAGCCTACTTGAAAATACCCATATGGATGCATGGCAATTATTTTTAAAATCATTTCTGTTGTGAAAATTCCAATAAAAACCTAAAGAAAAAACAAACACATGAAAGTGAATATGATTCTATCAGTCTGATCAGGATGCTTAGATGTGGATGACGTGAACATGGTAGCTTTTACTTGCTTTTCCTTTATAGTTCATCACAGCTTTAGAAGCTGTATTACAAGGGCAGACTCATACATTTAATTTAACAATCTAAACTTAGACACTATATAAAGAATTTTAAATTATTTTAATAAAAGTCACTCTGGAAAACAAAAGAATATTTGACAGTGAAAATATTTTCATTTCAAATAGTTCCTGTTGGGATATGTATATGTTAAGGTATTTAATTTTGCATTATAAAATAGTTTTTAAAAATTACATATGTGATTCCCCCCACCAAAGGGGGGAGGAACAGAATCTTTCTGTTGAAAAGTAGACTGGAAGAAATAAGCAAATTGCCTTTTAGTATGCAGTGAATATATAATTTAAAACTGGGAGCAGTTTAATAATTTCTATTAGTACTAAACAGCAATAATAAAAGCAAATAAAATTAAGTAATACACATTTATTTGGAAATGATCTGAGCTCCAAGAAATCTGTTTTGGTTTTATGCATGGTATGTGAAGAAAGGGTAGGTGAATTTCAAAAATACCTTGCCAAAATGATAATTTCCAATTAAGGCAAAGACAGGTGATTCGGCAGACAGGGTGCAGTTATAGTCGGGTTTCAGAATTCTGCTATCAGAGAACTTGTGCCTGTTGTTTCACTTCTGCTGTACTGTGAGGTGGCACCAAGAGTGGATATATTTGGGATGGGAAAGTACATAAATACTCCCTAGCAGCTGGCAAAAATCCTAAATTTAAATAACAGAATTTTAAATTCTATAGAACCTATTTAAAACAGAGTTACAAAGAAGGGGATGGTGAGGTGGGGAAGCATGAACACAATAATCCATCTAATATTAATATAATGCATTTGCAACACATGTAAATGATAATATTAGACAATCAAATGCCTGAAGAATAGCTGAAACTGCAAATGAAAATGACATACAATGACAGCCTTACCAGGTTTCCAATGCTGAGAACACTGCTGGTTTCTTTACTCATTGGATAATGTTCCAAAGCCAAAAAATATATGTTTGCAATTATGCATATGGTGAGAAAAAGATCAGTAAATGGATCCATTATAATCACATGGGTAAACTCTTTCAATTTTAACCAACAGGGAGAACAGTCCCAGATCAAGAACATTTTAGCGAATTTATGCCAACACAATGGGCATCTCTTTCTGGATTTTTTAAGTTCTGAAATGTTATAACAGAAAAAATTAAACATCATTAACTTGTTTACTTAAGTTCTAACTAATAGAAAAAATTGACTCTTGCATGCTAAGTGAGTTTTGAAGTTAGAATTTGGATTTGGAATTAGTAAATTTAAATGTTTTATAATGATAAAAAAAAAGCAAAGTAAATTCCTTATATTTTGTTCATGCTTGCAGTTAGACAAAGAAACCAAGACATACTGTGAATTAGAGCAAAGAACAAGAGTAGATCTCAGGAAAATAAATATGAATCCAGTTTAGAGTATAATGATTTATTATATGCTTTACAAAATAACACCTTGTTATATTGGCCATAGTTTCTGATTACATGTTAAAAAAAAAAAAGAAACAATTATTGAAAGGATCTTACTATATTAATGCCATATACTCCAACTTCTATTCTTAGAAATTAACACTTCTATGGCATCATCAATATTAAACAAAGAAAATTCCTTGACACTCTTTGGTCACCCTTTACAATGTTAAAAACACTATACTCATGTAATTATTTTTTAAAATAATATAATATTTTATTTTTACAACATTTTGTGCCTTTTTATATATTGTTCATTTTTATAGCCTCATGTTATTCTTTAAATTTGTTATTTTCATCTAAAACTGAATAAATTACACAATTTCTAAATCTTATGAATAATACCTCTTGGCTGTTAATAATTTTTACTTTACCTTCATGTCTGATGGTGTCATCATCCATCATATCCACAGACGTGGTCATAGAAGTTGGAGATCTTTTCTTCATTTCTATTTGTGTAATCTTGAGTGAAAAAGAAATTTGATGAATTTTATAATGCCTTCTCCCCTTGGTAAATACAATTTTATAACTATATAAAGGTGTATAACCTCCTTAGAAATGCTGATTCTTACCTCCAGAAATCTTTCAGGGTTCTGTCACTTGCTACTCTTTACATTATAGACATGTTTAAGAAATAGGATTCAGGTTTCTTTGGAAAATGAATGTGAGAAACTTGCAACTCAACTAAGTCATTTTACACTATGAAATGAGTAAAGACTAGAGGCCACCTGTGGCATTACCCATACTTGACAAAGAATTCAATGTACAGTTTAGAGTTATTGTGAAATATCCCATTGATAAGCATGGTACTGAATAATATCAGTGATAGTCTAATACCTTACATGTTTTCAGTAAGCATATCTTTATTACATTGTAAAATTTTGATAAAAATCAAAATTATTTAGTTTTGTGATGAAATTTGTCATAGAGTTGCTTTAATTAGAACATATATGGTAATTCCATAAAGGAGTACATTTTCAGTCTCTCCTACCTCTTTAATAATGGTTTGTAAGACATCCATTCTCTGCAGGGTTGATGGGGTTACAGAGAGTTAAAAGTGAATCATCACAATGGAAAGAAATTCAACTCCTATGTTTGATGTTGCTTACAAAGTCTATGCATTCATATGTATCATAAGTAGAGTGCTAGTTTTCTTAGTGATCAGGTTTAAAATCTGTACTTGAATTTAAACTTTTAAGTATCTGACAATGACTAGATGATATTACACCATAATATTTCCAACTTTTACACTTGGCACTCACAGAGAATGAGAATATTGTGAGAGAATATTTGGGCTAAATAGTGAGGCTGCTTTTGAATAGTCATGGCTGGCCTGGAGGATGCTGCCACCTTGTTACAAGGGAGTTAGTAGCTAAGGCTCACGGATAATCAGTATACAACACATTCTGTCAAGTTTTGCCTGCTCTATCTGAAGCGGTCTAGTAGATACTAAGATCTTAGTATCAATCAAGTCTCATCTAATTTCATAAGTAATGAGCTAGAGGAAATGAAAATCAATGGTATTACATACTGAGTTCCACCTGCAGGTCTACAGATCTTTGTGCCTTACTTCTTTTTAAATTGAAAAAGTAAGCTAAAAACTCAATTCATCTACAACATGATTATTCCAGGAAATATTTTTTAGCTGACTTCAAAGTTACATGGTACATGTTATTTCAAATTTCTGTGAGTTAAAAAACACCAGAAATATACAAGATCTGACAGGGATTTTCCAGGAATACCTTCATAAAGATGGTGCTTTATGACATAGTAAATCATATTCTTCACTCTGCATTAATATAGAGGTATTACTTCTTACAGAGTTGTTTTAATAGGGACAGTGTTGGATGGAATTGCACCTAAAAGCAATTCAGTAAAGATACTTGTCCGTGTGGGTGGTGGGGGAGGTTAGAGTAGGGAAAAAAATAACATTAGTGTTCACAGAGTCAATACTTAATTTTCTACTAATGAGTCTTGAACTATGAATAAATTTTAGAATATACAATGAACCTTGTATTAATCAAGTAATGTATTTACCTCAATTAGCCTCCAAAAAAATACTGGAATTCCCGAATACTGTCTAAGAACATGTCTGTTTTACAAAGCAAGTTGATAGGCTATAGTTCAATAATCTAGTTTGGAGCTTAACGTTAGATCGTTGGGGAATATGCCTTAATTTTGAATAGCTTACTGTTAAAATTAAACTGGAAAAATGAAGTGATATTCTTTCTATCACTTTGTCTAAATGTTCTCTGGAGGAAATATATAACTAAGGAAGAATTGAGTTATACTTCCATCATTTTTCAGTTAGTATCTGGGGTGTTCATCTTGGGCTCAGACTTGTTCTCTCTGTTGCAGCTTTCTTGTCTTTAATTCTTGGGCTCAACCTTTTTGTTCCTCCTGTGCAGCATGGACTTATCCTTCATATCTCAGCTCAAGTGTCAGTTCCTTTTAAAAATCTTTTCCAACTTAAAGAAATTCTTACTTGTAGGCTCTCAAAGCACCATGTTTATGTCTTTTATAGCACTTGGCACAGTTTCATTTAATATTTTTTAGTAGCATATTATATAGTGTACCAGTGGGTATAAAATATCCAGCTTTGATAATTAATAACATTGTAGTTTCCACTTTTATGTATCACCTTATTAATTTTTTATTGAAGTAACATTAGTCTATGCCATTATAAAAGTTTTAGGTGTATATAATTATGAATCAGCATCTGTGTATACAACAAAAAGGTCACCACTACAAGTCTAATTCCAACCTTCACCACATACTTGATCCCTTTTACCCAATTTACCTACTTCCTTTCCCCCTACTTCTTTTATATTCTTTAAATATTTTAAGTCAAATTTCATGTCATATTAATATCAAAATGAGCTTTTTGAAGAATATTCAACACCATATCATAATGAACAAAAAAGTAATTCCTTAATATTACCCAATACCCAGACCATGCACAACTTTCTTTCATTGATCAGAAATGAAATATGATAGTTTATTTGCTCCAAACAAAAAACAGTTAAGATCCACTTGTTGCTTTTAGTTGGGAGATATATTGACTATATTGTGATTTAAATTTAGTTGTTTTTCTGTGACCTATTTGGAAGATATTGAAGATTTGGGTCATATGTATTGTCAGCATTCTTGACTTGGTCATTTTTTGTAATTCAATATAATTTATCTCCTATGTTTTCTGGAAAAAAGAAAACACTGATTTAGAGGCTTATTAGACTCAAGCAAGAGTTTAGTAAGAATATAATGTATGTGATACTTAATATTTCTTATTTCTTAACATCAGGAAACATACAAGGTTTGATGGTCACAGAGTTAAAATTTTGTGTCTTTGATGATTTTATAGTTTATTTCCCTATTAGACCATTTGTGTGTGTGTGTATGGAAAATAAAACAAACTTATAAAAAGAGTTTTTACTCTTACTTTCCAGAAAACTTTCATGTTACAAAATGTTCTAGCACTCTTGCAGGGAAAGAAAGTCTTTATAATTGAAATATTTTAATTAAACCAGGGACTTTATATGATCCAGAGCAGTTGAATGAATAGAGATATTGGGAAATCAGGAAATAATCCAAGTTCTTCATAGGCAGAGTTAATAGGGCATCTCATTTTGGGATAAGAGAAGTATTGTGTGCTTGAATACATTTGTGTGTAGCCCTTGAAAAGTGAAATACCACTTCAAAACAAATTACAAATTACACATTCCACATATTATTCAGACCATAGTCATTCAATATAAAGGACCCCAGACTGATTTCTGGAGACAGAAAGCTTCCTTTGTGATTTGTTTTCCTGTGACTTACTCATGGGTGATATAATAGCTATTCTCAATAGTAACTTTTGATACATGTTTTCTTCATAAGATTTAATATTGCTTCTTGTTTCAATAATATCATGTTGTGGAACTCATAGACACAAGTACCTGTCAATATGCAGTCACTTGGTATGGTCATATATAATACTGTATTTATATATATAATATTGTATATGTGTGTGTGTGTGTGTGTGTGTGTGTAGGTAAGTCCAGCTATATTATATCTGTAGGCAAGTTAGTCCAGTTGGAACCATTGGTATCAATGATCCTCTGAGTCACCTTTAGTACACATTCATTTAGTGCCAGAATGTACCTGGCTCTTCATTTTTCCCAATCTATTTTAAACTCTTTATATAAAAGGTTCTAGGTATAGCTCCTTTTTACCTCTGTTCTTTACCTCAATCTGTCTTTTGTCCACAGACTAGACATGGCTATTTTAGGTGTGAGATTGTCAGCTCCTTTGGTATACGGAAAAGACACTTGTTGGTGCTCTCCTGAATTCTAGTCTTTCTTTTAGAAGACTTACAGCACAATCAAGATTTTTAAAGATAAATTTCACAATTTCTCAAATGTTTCTTCTATCAATATTTTCAGATTTGTATACAAAATGTTTGATTGTAAGGCAAAAACTGTGAAAGATGTATTTGAACATAACACTAAGATAATTGAAAATTAAAGTAAAACTTTGTTAAGTTATACTAAACCATGGGTTTAATTTTTCCATGGATAAGATAATTGCCTATATAATGATATACAGTACATTTCCTCTTGAAGGAAAGTAAAGAGCTAATAAAGTGACATTTTTGTCCTCCTTTTACAATTTGCACTTTCATTCATATTCTTAGTACTTCATGATTTCTAAATTATAGGAAGCCTTATTATTTTTGAGTCAAACACAGAAAATTTCCGAAGTTAGTTGTGATGCGTAATAATATATACGACCTGCATTAAAAAAGTGAAGTTCTATACACACACACACATATATATATGCGCAGAGAGATACCAAAATGTATTACTACTATAATATATTTAGCAATATATTTTTGCATGTGCAAAATGTAATACGTCTGCAACAAGATACATATATATACGTCTGCAATAAGATACATATATATATCTTATATATTACACATATATTAATATATAATACACATATTAAAATGTTTATCACTTTTACCACAATGCACTCTGATCTTTAGTAAATGTGAAACATC